AATGCCCCCGCTGGGGGGGTGGAAGATGGATTTGGCAACCCTAATCTAAACAGCTAGCTCCTGTATAAACGTAATCCAAAAGTAGTATTTTATTTCAGAGCTTGCTGCTATAGAAGAGGCAATTCAACAATCCCACCACTGTAGGACAAGTAATCCTCACTGCCAGACAAGCGATCCGACGGCTTCCTGGTTGACAAGTCGTTCCCAGCCTTCTTTCTCAAGAATCGCTCAATATATTGTGTACATCATTCACTGGAACCAATCTCCATTCTCTTAGCCAAATGTTCTCACTTTTCCCATTGGATTAAGGTTTGGGTGAATGTCCCTGTCCTCCTCAAACTCCGCCCTCCCCAGACCACACTCCCAAAATCTCCAAGTATTTCGAACACCAGAGCTTACACCCCTAGCCATGCAGTGGGTCCAGTGAAGGCCTGGGAACCCCACTTCTTCAGAGCAGAATGAATTCAACATTTTCAGAGGAATTTTAATTGGAATTTCAACATCTCTTGCCTGCTCGAGGCAATGGAATTCTGAAGAAGGGTTATTTATTCAGTCTTTTTTCTTGTATGGGGAGGCACTGCTGGAAACTGGATTTGACCTGTTAGGCCTCCTAAGAAGGCATTATTTGAATTACTGGATCAAAGGATTTTTAACCTCCTTTCCCACAGTGTATTGAAAGCCGTGTACAAAAGCCATAAAAAATAATAGAACAAATTAACAACACAGGCATTTTTGTGAAGGAAATACAGCTACATCATAACCTACTGGTCCAGGAAAATGCACTGTGTTTCTACTGATGTCATACCATGTTCTGCATTGTTTCATGTGTTGTGTTTAATATGAAGGGTGTGGTCACATGAGCAGTTGGACCCGACATAGCCACGCTTCCACTCCAGATTAAATGGGCACAGTCACACAGCCACATTTGTCGGGTGTTCTCCAGGCATACTCACCCTGCTGTTGGATGACTTGGAGCCAGGTTGAAAAGGCACCACATCACAAATGGTGTTTTTGGTTCCCCGTGCATTCATTGCGCATTGCCGGATGTCTGAATTTGGAGGAGCGCACACAAAATGGATTGGCAGTCTGATCCTGCAGATCCTTTTACACTGCTGGGGTGGGGTTTTTTTGGTGGAGTTTTTGCCTATATGCACATGGGCACACATGCACACAAGTGCATGAGCACACATGCGTGCACATGAACACATATATCCGTGCATGAGCATATATGCGCCCACTGCATTTTAAAAACCGAGTAGTGCACTCCGTGGCTGAGACGCTGCAGTAATGTGGATACTTGACCAGGGGGCGGCCACGTAGGTAACCTGCAGCAGGGTGTGCTATTTGGATGATATGCCCTGCAACACTGGCAAATTTTAAAGAAGAAGAGGAGGAGGAGGAGGAGGAGATTGGATTTATACACCCTGCCCTTCACTTGGAGTCTCAGAGCGGCTTACAAACTCCTTTCCGTTCCCCTCCCCACAACAGACACCCTGTGAGGTAGGTGGGGAAGAGAGAGCTCTGAGAGAACTGCCCTTGAGAGAACAGCTCTGACAGAACTATGGCTTGCCCAAGGTCATCCAGCAGCTGCAAGTGGAGGAGTGGGGAATCAAACCCAGATAAGAGTCCATGCACTTAAACACTGCACCAAACTGGCAATTAGAGGCAGTGCCATATCGCACCAAACTGTCAGCGTGATCACACCCTTGGGCTCAGTTCAGACGTCAGCTTTGTTTCGGCAATCCTAGTCCTATTGCATTGCTTAATAGATGTAGCATCCCACTGAGTGCATTGACTTTATACTATGTGATCCGCCTTAACTCCTGGTGAGAAGGGCAGACTATAGATAACACAAAGTAAAATAGCTTCAGGTGGGTTTGAGTCCAGTGGCCCCTTTAAGACCAACAAAGTATAATTCTGGGTGTCAGCTTTCAGGTGTTATAAAGTAAAATAAACATATAGAGGTGGACGCTAGATTTAGGCTTGCCAAGTCCCCCTGGGGGGCGGGGAAACCCCAGCCCCAGAGGCCCGTTCCCTGCCGCTGGTGGATCGGGCCCCGGGGGGAACCCCACCCTGGCGTGCGCGTCACCAGGAAGTGATGTTATGACGCCGGGCACGCTGGGGCCGGGGCCACGGTCATCCAAGGGAAAACTCTATGGTTTTCCCTCGGATGGTCGTGGCTCCGCCCCCAGCGTGCCTGGCGTCATAACGTCACTTCCTGGTGACGTGCGTGCGGTGCGTGCGCCAGCCACAGACCGGGAGTCCCCCGGTAAGGAGATTTTTCAGCTTGGCAACCCTAGCTAGATTGCCACTCCTGCACTGACTGTCGTTCCTCCACTGAGATGTGGCACTTAACAGGTATCCCCTCCCGGAATAGTCTGCAAAGCCTACACTTAACGTTAGAGTTGCCAATTATGAATTGGGAAATTCTTGGAGATTTGGGGGTGGAGCCTGGGGAGGACATGGTTTGGGGAGGGTATAATGTCCATCCTCCAAAGCAGCCATTTTCTCCTGGGGGGATTATTTCTGTTGCCTGAAGATCATTTCTAATTCTAGGAGACCACCAGGAGGCCCTCCAGTGCCTTTATTTATCGATTCGATGTATTTCTGCCTTGTGTTTTGGCCACATCAGCTCCCAAAGTGGCATTCAATTAGAATCTGTTGCCATTTTCAACTAAAGATGGTTTGCTGAGATGTACAGTTTGGTCTGAGAAGATAAGAGTTGCTGGAAAAGACAATAATGCTAGGAAGAGTTGACGGCAGCAGGAGAATTGGTGGAAATGCTGTAAAATACAAAAATATCGGGAAATGGTACATAATATAATCTTAGAAATACTGGACTTAGAAGTTGAGCTATTACCTGAAACCTACTTACTGAATATGGTTCCAAAAGGTTATGCTAAGCAGGAGTCATATTTATTAGTATACATTACAACAGCGGCGCGAATATTGGTGGCAAAAAATTGGAAGACAGATAAAATACCCTCAAAAGAGGACTTAATATCAAAACTCTTAGAATTAGCACAACTGGATAATTTGAGTTTATTGCTTCAAGATCGTAAATTACAGAATAAAAGATGGATAAGGGTCAGGGGTCATTTCGTAGAAAAAGAGCTAGGGGGACTCATTAGCATAACTCATTAGCATATGCCACACCCCCTGACATCAGGGGCCCGGTGGTAGACCTGCAAGGCCAGGGGGAGTGCGAGGAAGCCCTGCCAAGGCCCTCCCTGGCTCCAGGCAGGCAGGGGTGGGGAGAGGCAGGGAGGAAGCAACTTACCCTCCCTCTTCTCCTGCCTCCTCCTGGCTGAATGAGGGCTGGAAGTGGGGCGGCCGGAAGCAGGGGGTGGGGCTTTGTCATGTGCCCCGCCCCCCTGCACCTCACCCGGGGGAACTGCATTCCCCCGCGTTCCCCCCCGAAATGACCTCTGATAAGGGTATATAAATGGATAAACAATATAAGTTGATAAGTAATTAGCTAAAAATATGTATAAGGAATGTAATCTGATTTCACGACTCTAAAAATTTATGTAACCTAAGAAACTGAAATGTTTGTATTCTTATGGAAAATATGGAAAATAAATGTGGGGGGGGGAGGAAGACCCGATATGAGATGGATTGAGTCGATCAAGGAGTCCACGGCCCTCAGTTTGGAAGACCTGGTCAAGGCTGTTAATGTTAGGATATTTTGGAGGTCATTAATTCATGCGGTGGTAGGAAGTGCAGTCAGGTCACAGCTGAGTTACAGTGACCCCATCGGGTTTTCAAGGCAAGACACATTCAGAGGTGGTTTACCGTAGCCTGCCTCTGTGTCACAAAGGTATTCCTTGGAGATGTCCGATCCATTTACTAGCTAGGACCAACCCTGCTTAGTTTCTGAGATCTAATGAGATCAGGTTAATGAGACATGGCTGGTGGCCGGGGGGAGACGGGGCACTGGCAACCCTAATGGATGCCCTTCCTCAAGAGAGAGTTGGTGGGTCTGCTGTAGAGGCGAGAGTACGAAACAGTTCAAGACCCTGCAATGCTTGATCACTGATGAGTGGGATTCTTTCTAGCTCCATTACAGGCTTTACATCTCGAAGTTGTTCCCGTCGTTGGCAGAAATCAGGAGGTGAACCTGACAGCCGTTACCCTGCCAAGGAACCCAAACTTCACGCTATTTTACTGGTGGATTGGAGACAGCCTTCAGGTATTGGAATAAAAATTATTTGTGATTCTGGGGCATTTCAAACTTTGCCATGTTTTACGGCAGCGAATAACAGGAAGTCTCAAATTATTTATTGATTTAATTATTTATACCCCACCTTTTCTCTAGCTCAGAGAAACTTCCCCTTTATCATCTCAAGTGATGGTTTTCCACTTTGTTGCCAAGACTATTCTAGCTGCAATTAATATATATCTAAATAATTGCTGTGAAGTTCTTTCGGTATTGTCTAGTAAAATTCCCAACATAGTCTCTAGTTTCATAGCAAATCTAATTTTTAAGATATTCTCGATTTCTTCATGTATGTCTTTCCAAAATCTTCTTGTCTTTTTACACATCCACCACATGTGGTAGAAGGTGCCATCTGTGTCTTTACACTTCCAACAGGTCGCTTTATAATTGTTATCCAGCTTTTCAGTATCTTTTGGGGTGATGTGCCATCAGAAAAACATCTTATACCAATTCTCCCTTCTCATGGTGAATTTTATGTCTTTCACCCATAGGTTTTCCCACTGTTGGAAAAATATCTCTTTGCCAAAATTCTGTATCCATTTCATCATTCACACCTTAACTTGTTCTGTTTCTGTATCATATTGAAGTAATAATTTATAAATCTGTCCTAGTAGGTAATCCTTCTGTTGCGTAATTATCTTTTCAAATTCTGTCAAACCTCTTATTCCATCTCCATCTGTATAGACATCATTGTTCAATCTGGAAATCAGTTGGAAATATATTAGCCATTGTATGTCCTTTCCTTCTTCCACAATGGTTTGCCAGGACTTTATTTCACCTTGTAAATTTATCGTATCTTGATATGTTATGAAGTCATTATTTTTCCTCATGTATTTATCACAATATGCATCTATAGATGACATTACAGGTTAAACTGGAAGACTAATTCTTCTTCTTAAAGACTCCCAGATTTTAAATAAACTGTCTCTGATTGCATGATTTTTCGATTATATTTTTTCATGTTCCTTTCTTGATCCAACGATAAATATGTATACCTTCAGCCAGGTCTGCAGTTTCTAATTTCATTAGTCTTTCATTTGGATTTCTAATCCAATGTATAATACAAACTAGGCCAGTTGCTTGGTAATATGATTTGATATTAGGTACCGCTAGACCTACTCTTTTTCCCCCATCTTGTAACACTTTAAATCTAATTCTTGATTTTTTGCCTTTCCATATAAACATGTCCATTTGTTTTTGCCAGTCTTTGAGAGTCTTCTCTTGTATATTGATTGGTTCATCTGAAATAAAAAGTTTATTTTTGGAAGTATGTTCATTTTTATTGCAGAGATTCTTCCCAGCCATGACAGTTTTGATTTAGACCATCCTTCCAAATCTTTTTATATTTCCCCCCAGATCACATTATAATTATCTTTAAATAATGTGCCACTTTGCCCAGTCAGGTTTATTCCCAAATATTTAACTGGATTTGATGCTAATTCATATCCTGTAATTTTCTTAATATTTTCTTCTTCTTGCTTTGTTAGAAATTTGAAATTATTTTCGTTTTGGTTCTATTAATTTTAAATCCCCAAAAGGAGCCAAATCTTTCAGTTTGTTCTGTAACAGGCTGCAGTTTTTTGTGGATCTGAAATTTTCAAAACGACATAATCGGTATCAGGGGTCATTTCGTAGAAAAAGAGGTGCAGGGGCTCATTAGCATAACTCTTTAGCATAACTTTTTTGCATATGCCACACCCCCTGACATCACCGGAAGTGTGTCAGAAGGCAACACCCACCACTCAGGCTCCACTGGACTGTTTTGGATTGCTAGCTATTGGGGGGGGGGACGTGCAGATCTGTCCTCGCAGAGGAGGGAGAGCTTGTACCTGAATAAAACTTGGTCTTAAAGGTGCCACTGGACTGTTTTGGGTGGGGGAGCTCTGTGACTTACCTCGCCGCTTCTTGCTCTGACTGTGGGCTGCTGGGAGCAGGGGGTGGGGCTTGTTGCATGTGCCCGCCCCCTGGGCTCTTTACTGCCGGAGCTCCGTTCCTGTGCGCTCCTGCAGGAAATGACCCCCGATAGGCATAACTTTTCAGTTCAACTTCCTTTCCATCCACTTTCAGTCCTTCAGTTTTGGAAACCTGTCTTATTTTGGAGGCAACGATCTCCATTGCAAGAATGAATAGGAGTGGTGATAAGGGGCATCTTTGTCTTGTGCCTTTTTCACTTTGAAATCCGTCTGTTAATAACTTCATTCATTAAAAGTCTTCAAGTGCTTTATCTCAGTTATATCCCGGTGTAACTGGACTTTGAGAAGCAGACTATACAATCTTGAACTATACCTATGTTTAATTGTGATACTCCTTTTTGCTTAATGTGTATAATAAATCACAGTAATGCATATTTATATTAGGCATTTGATGTATGACATGATGAGAGATTGGCTTAGAGGCAAAGTGAAATCACATGCAAAGGAGTTTAACAGAGTCTCAATATTGGTAAATGAAAACAGGCCCTGAGACAAGGAGGAGGGTGGGTTACTAGGTCCCCCGTGGCCACTAGCAGGGGACGGGAGGGGGGTAGGGTTTTCAGATCCATGTTAGGAAATTCCTGGAGATTTGGGCATGGAGCTTGGGGAGGATAGAGACCTCAGTGGAATAGAATACCATGGAGTACACCCTCTAAAGCAGAGGTGTCAGGCTCATTTGTTATGAGGGCCGGGTCTGACATAAATATCACTTTGTCGGGCTGGGCCATGTGTGCCATAAAATGTAATGCTGGGTACTGGAGATAGAAACTGTATAAAGGACAGGAGCTGGTAAGCTCCGAGTAGGTGTATCCTCACTGCAAGGCCCCCTGGGGTGGGATGGTGGGTGCAGAGGAAAACGCACATAGGCCGATTGGAGAGGCAGCAGTGCAGCGCTGGGCAGATGCTCCCCTGATGCCTGACTGCCGTTGTTCTACCGTGCTGAAACTACAATGGAGTGGCTCCACCCACTCTCTCCCCCCCAGCACTCCCTCCCTTGCATCAGTTGCTCGCGGGTCGCATAAGAGCCCTGGAAGGGCTGGTTCTGGCCCTCGGGCCTTATGTTTGACACCCCTGCTCTAAAGCACACATTTTTATCCAGGGGAACTGATCTCTGTAGTCTGGAGATGAGCTGTAATTCTGGGGGATCCCCAGGTTCCACCTGGAGTCTGGCTTCCCTAGTGGGGAAGCTTAATCTGCCCTACCAGCCTCCCACCTATGGCGTTCCAGATACAAGGGTAAACATATACCTGCTACTCAGGGCAGGAGAGGGACTTGGATTACAGCCAGTGGGGAAAGAGTTTTTCAGGGCAGTAGAGTGACTTTGATTACAGCCAGTGTGGAAAGAGTTAAGTCTACCTCCACTTTTCCTGTTTTCAGAATTACAGATTTTTGAGGCTGGTTTTCATTTGTTTTTTTTGTTTTTTTAAAGCAAGGCTTTGTTATATACAACTGTGGGTACTGGCTGATTTGCCCCTGGATTTAATTTCTATGAATGAGCGAACACCTGAGGAATCAGGACTGTTTGGAAGTAACACCCCCTGGCAGGGGTGTCCCTAGAGGGATGTGGGACCTGTGACAAGCTCCTCCCCCCAGCCTAGGGTGGCTGGGTTGAGAAATACCTGGAGATTTGGGAGGTGGAGTCAGGGGAGGGCGGGGTTTGGGATGGGGAGGGACCTCAGCGGGGTACAATGCCATAGAGTCCACCCTCCAAAGTAGCCATTTCCTCCAAGGGAACTGATTTTGATCTTCTGGTGATCAGTTCTGATTCTGGGAGATCTCCAGGTGCTACCTGGCAGTTGGCAACCTTACCACAGCCTCTTGAGCCTGTCAGGTTCCACAGCCAACAACTGAGTACATGCTTATCAGAAAGGTTATACTTTATTGCAGAGCTATAGATGCACAGGGCCGGCTCCAGCTTATTTTGCACCCTAGGCAAGGATCCCTTCTGCCCCCCCCCCCCCCCGGCCCCCCCCCACATTTACAAAAAAAAACACATTTATGGACAAAGATAATAATCAAGAAACTCCCAAAGTACGGGGCCGGGTGCAGTTTGGTGCCCCTAAGGGCCGTCCCGCTCTAGGCGATCGCCTAGTTCGCCTAGTGCGTGAGCCGGCCCTGGCAGTAACAAAGTCACTGTTAAGAATGGCAACGTTCCTACAAGCATAATGGGATATAGGGTATTCGTATGCACGCACACACACCTTTCCGTAGGCCAATTAGCCTGACTCCCGCACGCGGGAGAAGGGGTCTCAGGCCGTTAGAGGCCGCAGCTGGGAACCGAAAGTGCTCCCACGGTTCCATGCATCCCAGACACTACACCGGCAACCTGCAAGACAGCATTACAGAAGCAAAAGTAAAGAAGCAGCATCTGGCCCACAGATCGAGAGAATGGATACCTCCCCATCATGGCAGCATAGCTGACAGAGCCATTCATTCCCAAACCGCTGTTGATCAGCTGGCTTGTACCTCCCACACAAACACCATTGCCTAGATGATTGGCAGAGTCCCCCAAACCGCTGGGCCTGGGGCATTCGTCCCGGGTCACCCGATGCCAGGGATGTCTCTGCCGCGATCTGGGATCTTTTGCCCTTCATCCCTGATGTGTGAGAACAGCTTGCGGTTATCCACTGCTGGAGGAAATGCTCTCTGCCCGTGCCCAGGAGGATTTTTCCAAAATTGTGCCCTGGCAGTGAGTGCGGGTTCCAGGACTGCGCAAGGTTCAAACCTAACGATGCCGACAGCCTCCTTACACGTCTCTTTCCAGCCACAACTCAGTTTTTTCCTGTCTTGCCTTTTCTTTTAAATAGCCACACCTTTCATTGGAGAGCTTCCTGGTGACTACTTTCACAGAGATCGGGGAAGTCAGAGTGACAGTTCAGGCTTCCCGTGGGAACTCCATGCTCCAGGATTCCAAGGTTATCCAAGTTTTGGGTGAGGCGATTTCCTTTAAAAAACGTTTTGGGGGGTTGGGGTGGGTGGGAGTACTGTGTAGATCCTCCCCACTTGATTCTCCTGCAGATGGACTGAGAGGGGTTTGAAGTGCCTGGTGGTCCTCCAGATCTCAGATCTGTGGGTACTTCCAATGCCGAGCCGTAGCCAGGGAGTTCATTCCGGTTCTGTATGTCTTTGTGACTCGTTGAAGGCAATGCAAGATGTTACGTACCTCAACCTTGAATCCGGTACCTTAAATGTTGCATAAGGGACATCAAGACACAACTGACTTATGGCGACCCCAGCAAGGGACATTCTAGGCAAGGGATAAGCAGAGGTTCTTCGCTTCCAAGCTGTGACCAGAACAGGCTATATGCGTCCACCTTCCCGCCCTGAACATTAGAAGAAGAAGAAGAAGAGAAGAGATTGGATGTATACCCCGCCCTTCACTTGGAGTCTCAGAGCGGCTTACAAACTCCCTTCCCCTCCCCACAACAGACACCCTGTGAGGTGGGTGGGGCTGAGAGAGCTCTGACACAAACTGCTCTTTTTCAAGGACAGCTGTGCCAGAGCTTGTGACTGACCCAAGGTCACATCAGCAGGTGCAAGTGGAGGAGTGGGGAATCAAACCCGGTTCTCCCAGATTAGAGTCCGCACACTTAGGGCATGCTTTTTGACTGTGTTCCTCAATAGGTCCCAATTAAAGAAGAGGAAGAGTGACTCTCCTTGATCCTTCAGGTGGTAGGTGAAAGGATCTCTGAGGAAGATGTCATGGTCCCGCTGTACACTTCATTGGTCAGGCCGCACGTTCTGGAGGCCTCACTTCAAAAAGGACGTGGGCAGAATGGAGCGGGTGTAGAGGAGAGCGATGAGGATGAACAGGGGCCTGGAGACCAAGGAGCCCTGCGCGGAAAGGCTGAGGGACTTCTTGGGGATGTTGAGTCTGGAGAAGAGGAGGCTGAAGGGGGGGACAGGATTGCTCTCTTGAAGTATCTGAAGGGCTGTCCCTTAGAGGAGGGCAGGGAGCTGTTCCTGTGGGCAGCAGAGGAGAGGACTCGCAAGAATGGGTTTAAATTAAGGGCGGGAAGGTACCAGCTGGATATTAGGGGAAACTTTTGTACAATAAGAGTTGTACAATGCTGGAATCAGCTACGTAGGGAGGAGGTGAGCTCCCCCTCCCTGGCCGCCTTCAAGCAGCGGCTGGACGAACACTTGTCAGGGAGGCTCTTGGCCGATCCTGCGCTGAGCAGGGGGTTGGACTAGATGGCTTGTATGGCCCCTTCCATGATTCTGTGAAGGAAAAGGATTTGGTCTTCAAGGTCACGTATCCTTGGGAGAACCCAGTGGATTACTGCTGTGGGGAGGAGGGCTAGGGTGCCAAGGAAATGCACTCCCAAAGCCCAGTCCCTCCCTTATGGTACTTTCCTGGGTGAAGGAATCCTCCTTTGTCTATGCAAAGACATGAGGGTATTTGCTTGTGGGGGTATTTGGGCTCCTAGAACGGTGTGTAGCTTTGATCGACATCCCCCCCCCCCAATCCTTGAACCTCAGAGTTATTGTAGGGTAGTAAGAGAAACAGAGGAGCTGCGGTGGCTCAGGTCGTTAAGACGCTGAACTGCAGGCTGTGGAAGGTCGGTAGTTCAGCAGTTCGAGACCCGAGTGTGCCACATGACGGAGTGAGCTCCCGTCTCTGGTTCCAGCTCCTGCCAACCTAGCAGTTCGAAAGCAAGAAATGCAAGTAGATCAATAGGTACCACCTCGGTGGGAAGGGAACAGCGTTCCGTGCGCCTTGGTGTTTAGTCATGCCGGCCACATGACCACGGGAACGTCTTCGGACAGCGCTGGCTCTTCGGCTTGGAAACGGAGATGAGCACTCCAACCCTAGAAGTCGGACTCGACTGGCTTTCGAGCAAGGGAACCTTTACCTTTACCCTTAAGAGAAACAGAGCTCTGAGGACAGCTGCCAAAGACTGCTGGTCTTTGAACCCCAAAATCCTTTCGCTGCCCAAGTATCGTTTTGCAAGGAACTGGCAGGCCTGATGGCACAGGTGGCCGCTGGTGGGATGGACGCCGACTGAGCTCACTTCCGGTTCAGCTGGAAGGATTCCAAAGGCTAGAACTGTGTCCTGCCATCTGATGACCCCGCTGTTCCTCAGCTTCGTGAAGGAAGCACACAATACACTGCCCTTCACTCACGGCAGATGAGAGGGACATTCTAACCACCCACTATTCCTCAAAAAGGGTTCGGGGTCTACTGTTCATGCCAAGTCCTCTTCTATCTTGTCCTCTGTTTCTCAGTTTGGTGTAGTGGTTAGGTGCGCAGACTCTAATCTGGGAGAACCGGGTTTGATTCCCCACTCCTCCACCTGCACCTGTCTGGATGACCTTGGGCCAGCCATAGTTCTGTCAGAGCTGTCCTTGAAAGAGCAGTTCTCTCAGAGCTCTCTCAGCCCCGCCTACCTCACAGGGTGTCTGTTGTGGGGAGGGGAAGGGAAAGGAGTTTGTAAGCCGCTCTGAGACTCCGAGTGAGGGGTGTGTGTGTATAAACCTTCTTCTAAACCCCAGAAGCAGCTTTTTTCCAGGTTCTGTTTCTCCAGTTGAAGAATCCCTCTCTTGGCTGGATTCAGATGTTTCCAAAATAGATAGAGATTGCAAGTAGTTATGTTGATCCAAAATAAAGTTCAGAATCAAGAAACTTGTAAGAATTAATCATTTATTGATTAATTTTATGAATCAGCATCCCGCGGAGAGATAGGAAGTAACTGAAGGAGCAGAAAACCTTGAAAAGAGGCAGTAACTAAGAGAGATCTCAATGGTGTTGTAGATTTCCTTTTCCCATCTGGTGGTCTCAAGGTGGTTTACAAAGGCATGACAAATTGCTTCCTCCAAAAGCTACTTTTTCTTAACTATCGATATTAAATGTGTAACATGTAGTTCTGCCGTTAGCTACCTCCTTTAATGTGTCATGAATTTCAGACGGGGAAAAAAAGTAGTGTCTGTTTTTTGAAGAAAGTTTACTTTTCACGTCATGACTTAGTAGTGTTCTCGCTTCCCATTTCCAGATCATTTTCCAGCCCTTCGCTTAAGGTTTTCCGAGTATCTGGATTTGTACAACCCAAACATACCTGCTTGGCGAGAGGACATCGGCCTTGTCGTAACGCAGCGGATTGCAAAGGTGACCTCTATGGTTATGAATACCTTCAGTCATTGAACTGAATTGTTAAGGGGGCACCTCCATGTTTAGAGCACCACAGCAATCCAGCGAGTTGCAATCGTTTGGATAAATTTCAGGATAGGGGCATGTTGCTTAGAGGAGTGTAGCCTATCGCCTCAGTGCTCAGTCCTTACCCTTCGTGGCTTGTTACTTCTACCTAGAGACAGGCCCGTAGCCTTTTGTTGGTCTTAAAGGTGCCACTGGACTCTAATTTTGTGCTCAGGTTTCATGTGTGATACATAGCACCTTTAGACCTTGAGAAGCGTGATTTGGCCACAGTTTTCCCTCCTCCGATCACATCTGGGTTTGGTTGCTATGTGGGTTGTCTTGGAAAGCTTTTTCAGAAAATTCAGTTCCTTTCAAATACCATAGTGAGATTGCTGGCTGGCCTCCAAACCATGCTACAGAAATTTATTTCCTGTATATCGGTCAATTTGACTAACTTCTCTGTCACACACAACATTTCTGATGTTACGTACATGCAGATAGATCTTTTCTCTTTCATCATCCAATATCGAAGTTTTCACACACTCATCATTTATCACGGACTGGGGTTAAAGTTCTGTGCACGGTTTCCCGAGAGTAACCCACTAAACTCAGTAGGGTGTACTTCTGAGTAAACATGCACAGGATTGGACATTGCGGTGATGGGTTAAAACTGGAAGTTAACGCACAACACAGTCACTAGTGCCCCCATTCAGAATTCTATAAATTGAAAGATTCTCGGACTTAATGTATGTAAAAAAAATATAGTAATGGTTCTTGGCATCTTATTTCCCTGTTTTGCCCCCCAAAAATCTTGACTTACACCATTTCCCTCAGCAGAGGTCATTTCGGGGGGGAACGCGGGGGAACGCAGTTCCCCTGGGTGAGGTACGGGGGGCGGGGCACATGACGAAGCCCCGCCCCCTGCTTCTGGCCGCCCCGCTTCCGGCCCTCATTCAGCCAGGAGGAGGCAGGAGAAGAGGGAGGGTAAGTTGCTTCCTCCCTGCCTCTCCCCACCCATGCCTGCCTGGGGCCAGGGAGGGCCTTCGCGGGGCTTCCTTGCACTCCCGCCGGCCTTGCAGCGCAGCGTGGGAATTCCCAGAAACAGGGAAGTCTGCTGCTGGAGAGCAACAGAGGACAAACTGCATTTTTGTGCCTGGAACTGCAAAAGCATCTGCGGAAGTGAGGGAAAGCAGCAGAGGAATACAAGTGCAGGCACGGGGAGAACCTGTGGAAAATGTCTGTGCAATTTCTTTTTTTAAAAAATCCGTTTATTTAATTTTTCCATATAGTTACAGCCCAGTGCTTTTACATATATAACATTTGAGTCTATTTTTTCCTTCTTTCTTTTAACCATCCGTAAACTCTAGACCATCTATTTTTCAATACATTTTTATCTTTACCATGTAATATCATTGTTAAGTTATCCATTTCTGCTACTTCTAACCGTTTGTATTCTAACTCTTGTCTTGTAGGCAGGTTAATTGACTTCCAATATTTAGCAATCAGAATTCTTGCTGCCGTTACAATATATGTCAGCAAATATTTATCATTTGTACTTAAACCATCTGGCATCATATTCAATAAATATACTTCTGGAGTTAAATTTAGGTTAATTGTTAACATTTCTGCTATTAGTTTTTGGACCTCTTTCCAAAATTTATAGATCTTTTCACAGTTCCACCACATGTGTATAAATGAGCCCACGTTATCCCTGCATCTCCAACAATTCTTAGATACATTAGAGGAACATTTTGCCACCCTATCCGGTGACCAGAAAATGTCTGTGCAATTTCTGTGCTGTTATCTGTATGGCATCTTTCCCAAGCCAAAGGGATCAAATCGAAAACATGTACTTTAAAAATGTAGTATAGTAAAATGAAAGTCGTCACACAGGCCCACTCAATTTCTGTCTGTCTTTTTCTCTCGTCAGGAGACAAACATACCTGAGGAAAATCTTGTGACTGTGGTAAGGCCTGGGTTGCCCACCACAGCGGACTTATACGTGCTCCAGTCTCTGAACCACCCCAAAAAGAAAAGAACTATATCTAGCAATAAGGCAAGCAGACTATTACTTTGGGGAGTGTATGTGTAACATCCTATTTGACTTCATCGGGCTCCTAATCAATGGAAGAGCAATACTGGTTTGGTGAGCCAGTTTGGTGTAGTGGTTAAGTGCACAGACACTAATATGGGAGAACCGGATTTGATATCCCCACTCCTCCACTTGCAGCTGCTGGATGACCTTGGGCAAGCCATAGTTCTGTCAGAGCTGTTCTCTCAAGGACAGTTCTCTCAGAGCTCTCTCAGCCCCACCTACCTTAACGGGGTGTCTGTTGTGGAGAGGGGAAGGGGAAAGGAGTTCGTAAGCATCTCTGAGACTCCGAGTGAAGGGCGGGGTATAAATCCAATCTCTTCTCTTCTTCTTCTTCTACCTCACTTGGCATAATCTCTCACACTTTGCATAATGTCTCCTACTTAAAACAGCTGGACAGACAAAAGCAAATGCTCCTCCACTCTGAGCAATTAAATTGCGGAATTCACTGCCACACAATGTAGTGACCACTAGGGTAGGTGGCTTTCAAAGGTGATTGGAATAGGTCCTTCGGAGGCTTCGGTGACTAAAGAGAACCTCCGTGTCCAGAGGCAGTAAAGCTCCAACTAGCAGTGCCAAGAGGCAGCATCTGGGAAGGCCTTGGCCTCTGGTGCCCCATTGGCTGGCCCCGTGCGGCAGTGCTGTGGCTACACAGGTGTTTTGGGCATGCTTTCATCAGCTGCGAATTCCCTGCAAGTTTCCCCCTGTTGCATTAGTAAAGGTTCCCTTGCTCAAAAGCCAGTCGAATCCGACTCTAGGGTTGCGGTGCTCATCTCCATTTCAAAGCCGAAGAGCCAGCGCTGTCCGAAGACATTTCCGTGGTCATGTGGCCGGCATGACTAAACACCAAGGCGCACGGAACGCTGTTCCCTTCCCACCAAAGCGGTACCTATTTATCTACTTGCAATGTCTTGCTTTCGAATTGCTAGGCTGGCAGGAGCTGGAACTAGAAATGGGAGCTCACTCCGTCATGTGGCACCCGGGTCTCGAACTGCTGAACTACTGACCTTCCACAGCCTGCAGTTCAGCATCTTAACCACTTGAGCCACCTGTTGCATTACCTAAGGACTTTTTTTTTTAAGTTGCAATTGCTGTTGCACTGTGGCGATTTGGTGGGGGAAATGACAACTGTAAGGAGCTGACAGGAGGGAAATCACACCGTTGTGGTTGGGGCCGTCACAAATGGGCACCTGTCTCATCCAGACAGCATGCAAACAGAGCATGCTCAGACTGTGTTCTTTCAGCAAATATCATAGTAAGCCAGGTTTGAGAAGGAGCATTGCCAAGGATGGAGAACACCTGGAAAGTGGGCAGTTAGAGGACAACATTGTGTGGACGGTCCCCAAACCAGTTCTCCAGAAGCAAAGGCAGAAGAGAACATCTGTGGCAAAGCAGTCTCGGTTTGTGAACCAGGTCAACAGTATTCCGCTTTTTGTTTTTCTCCTTGCTTCCTGGAGGGCAAATCGTGGTAGAAAACAGGTTGCTTCCATCTCATCCTTGCTTGCAATGCTGCTGCACTGAAAAAGAATATCATCAGGCCCAAATATTTTTGTGTAAGAGGGCAGAAGAAATTATTTTCATTCCGACTGTCTTCCCTGCCCCCTTTTAAGGCAGCTGGTATAATCAGATTGGATTTTGTTTTGGGTTTTTACTAGATTAAACTCAGCCGTGACTTCAGCTGTAAACTAGAACAGACCCTGCAGTTCTCATAGAGCCAGTTTGGTGTAGTGGTTAAGTGCGCGGACTTCAGTCTGGGAGAACCGGGTTTGATTCTCCACTCCTCCACTTGCACCTGCTGATGTGACCTTGGGTCAGTCACAAGCTCTGGCACAGCTGTCCTTGAAAAAGAGCAGTTTGTGTCAGAGTTCTCTCAGCCCCACCCACCTCACAGGGTGTCTGTTGTGGGGAGGGGAAGGGAAAGGAGTTTGTAAGCCGCTCTGAGACTCCAAGTGAAGGGCGGGGTATAAATCCAATCTC